ATGATGCATTTACAAAATGCCTGTGTCTCACTTTATTTCAAAATATATCTGTGTTAACTCTGGTGCTACTGGTGAACCCACTGTTCCGCTACTCAGTCATTACCGCGAGGCCTCAAGGCTTTGCCTCTGAATGTAGGCAACTGGAACAGCATCTGCTTGATATTATTACTATATTAGAACAATAAATCTTTTCTCCATTTGCTTTCCTGCACTTGGATGCATTCCATTTTATGAAGTGTGTCTCCTTAGCCAGCCATTATTTGATAGGACAGATGCTTCTGCAAAAGAACTGACCAATGATTGTTATATGAATTAAAAAGCATCTTTGTAAGCCAGATGAGCCATACACCCAATCAACCAGCTTCCATTTTGGGCAATCTGGAAACTGTTCTTGCAAAATTTTTAGCATTAGGAAACAAAAAAACCACAGGTAAAGAAAAAAAAAAGAGTTCCAACATATACACCCACAATATACAAAAATACAAATTTTGGATTTATCCTGGAAACAGCACGTTCCCCAGGATCATCCTATGACTAAATTTAGAGCAGATCTTCCAGAGTTCAGGGAAATCACATCCTTTCACAAGTAAAGGTTCAATACAATAAGAAAGCACCCTGTAACAGAGGGCCTGCTCAGGGCTGATCTCCATGTGGCCCGCTCACCTGCTCTTGGGCTAACCGCCTGCTTTCTCGCCCGCCATGCCTTGATCTTAATGAATTAATTGATAGATGCAATTAAGCAGGAGGCTGCCCATTTTCTGCCCCGATGCCAGGGGAGCTATCTGCGGCTCCATTCCTCCTCTACACCACAGTACAAGCCTCGCTGATGGCATCTAGGTGTTTGCATTATCACCGGCCCCACACTGGGCCCCAGAATCCTTCTGATTGAACCCCAACCTAGAGTCCTCTCCTCAGGCAGCCTCATCCTCCTTCATACAGGTTACGTAGCTCCCTGAAGCCATTTTCCCCTCTCAGGTGTGGTCCCCCCGGGACCTTTGGCTACCAGCCCTGGCCCACCTCCAGGCCAGTTGGAACCCCGGCCCTCGACTCTCGGGCATTGCTCACGGTGGGCCCCTGCCCCTTTTGATCGGTCTGGTCCCAGCCCCAGCATGGGCCAGTCGAGGGTACTCTCTCGATCAGTTGGAGTCTCTAGCCCCTCACTCCCTCCAGGGGTCCACCTCCCCTGGGCCCTACACATAAAGGGGTAACCCACCGGGTGGTGGGGGCTAGGGGTTAAGGCACACCAACCTGCCTTTCACCAGGGTGGTAACTGGCCTGGCATTTCCTGGGGGCTCCCATGCCACTGAGAGCCCCACCAGGCCACCCACTCCCAGCAGGGTGCAGTTTTAGGTCATGTCCAGGACTAGGAGCCTCCTGACCATCCCCTACAGCTCCGCCCTTATCTCCAGATGAAATTCAGCAGCCCTCTGACCAGGCAGTGTTGTTACCTGACCTCCAGCGGCCAAACTGCCTTGTTTATATAGGCAGTCCTGGACCTAAAATGGCTGCCCTCATTAGGCACCTGGCGGCTGCCAGCTCCAGGGCCTTAAAGTGGCAGGCACACACAGTGCCCTGCCACACCCTCATGCCATTTTTTAACAGGCAGCCATTTTCTGCTGCATTTTATGACCTGGCAGAGTTCATATTAAGTTTGCATCCAACTGTTTGGTGGAAATTCAAAACCAAATGCATCTGTCAGATTTGAATCTGACAATAAGGGTTACAGTAGATTAGAAGCTAAATTTAAGCCAGCAGTGTGATGTTGTTGCAAAAACTGGGTTATATTAACAGGAGAATCTCTTGCAAATCAAGGAAGGTAATTCTTATAATCTCTTCAGCACTGATCAGGGCTCACTGGTAGTACTGCCTCCAGTTTTCGAAGATTATAAAGAGGACAGAGCTAGATTTTTCTCTGTGGTTATAAGGGACAGGACTAGGAGCGATGGCCTCAAGCTACAGCAGAGGAAATTGAGGTTGGAGGTTGGAGATTAAGAGGAACTTTCTGAGAGTGGTCAAGCACTGGGACAGGCTACCTAGATAAATCGTGAAATCTCCATCCCTGGAAATTTTCAAGAGCAAGTCACTTGGCTGGGGTGCTTTAGTTAAGGATATTGCTGACTTGAACAAGGGGCTGGACTAGATGACCTCAAGTGGTCCTTTCTAGCCATACTTTCCTATGATCCTAAGAACACAGTTCAGTACAGGGTTCCCACTTTTAACTATGTCATAAGATGTGCACTAAAAATATCAGAAACTACTAAAATGATCTTAACAGCAGTGATGAGAATTCAGTTCAATACACTTTCACCCAGCCATCTCAGAAGAGTAGATTTCCCCCCTGCAACCCACTTCAAGGTAAGTATCTCTGCACTGTGTGGAGGAGATTTTCCGAGTCTGGGCTTATTCATCTAATTTATCCTAGATAACAAAGGCAAAGGCAGAGCCAGGAATGCAGCACAGGACTCTTGGCTCCCAGTATGTTTCTCAAATCACTGGAAGGCACTGCTTTACAATGTCACTCCCCACGAGCTGGGAGCTGCCTGTTCCCTGAGGAAACAGTCCCTTCTTCCCTTTTTCTGGGATTAGCCTATTGAGCCTTGCCATAGGAAAACAATAGCTAATCTTTCCCCCAACCGCTAGCACAGGAGAGGCATACTGTCTGGAGGCATGTTTTGGTGGGAGAAGTGGCAGCCAAGGAGTGGGGATTTGCCTGTCTTTTTTGTTCTGTTCTTGAAGTACATGTGACAGCGGCAGCTGAATTTGTACCCTGCCTATTCAGCAAATGTTGCATTCAACATCATGAATGCAAATCCCAGAGCCAGATTTATGATGGGTGGGTCCATTATCAAGGTTTTTGTACCATACCCTCCTCTATATTCAAAGAAGCAGTTCCTGAGCTACCCTCTGATCTCACTGCCAGGTAAAAAGACAAGAATTTAGGGAACATCCTTTCTCAACAATGCTCACTGGAAGTTGTAATTAAAATAGGAAGGATTATTTTAAACAGCCTAACACCCTGTGCATCTTACAATTACTTTTACTCCCTTGCGATTTCACAGCTGTGCGTCACTAGTTCTCTAGTCACCAATCTTCCCCATTAGGCAGGATGGAAATTTCTACTATAAAAAAATAAACGGTAAAGACCCAACTATTTTAGCCAAGCTTCTTTATCCATAACAGGGAAACAACAAAAAAAAGAGCATAAGCTCCAGTTTTTCCCCACTTTGTACATCTTTACTAAATAGTCCTGACACACTTATTAATGAAGTGATCATGTTATAATATGTACTGCACTTTATATCTGCTAGTCTAAGACTTATAAAGCTGAGTAGCATTTATTATCCCCATGTCATACATGGGGAAACTGCAACAACAGTGCAGGTGAAGTGCCTATGGCCACACAGTGGTGTGAGATCTGGGTAAAACTTTCATTGACTTCAACGCGGCCAGAATTTCACTGCTTGTCTCTTGACTCCTCGATCTGAAAACCCACCTCTGCTAGACCCTGAGATAGTAACATAAATTTGTTGTTGTACTATCATAGTCCATAAAATACTCAATCTATTTCATAATTTGCTTCAGCAACTGTAAATGAACAGTCCTGAACTCTTACTGCTTATCCCCCCTTCAATTCTTTACCCTTTACCGGGCCATGGGAAAGACTATTTGTAAAACTCTTTTTGTACAAATGGCAGGCACCATGAAGAACAACCTAATGGGAGACTTAACCCTAGTGCTGGGGAGGCAGACACACAGAAACAGGCTTCTGGAGACAAACAGAAGGGGGTGGGATGCAATTTATTCTCAATAATCAACGTGGCTCCTTCAAATACAAAGGACAAGCCAGTGTGGAGCAGCTTGTAAGTCAGGCATGCAGGAGAACATGCTGCAGCACTCTGTGGTTTCTGATTAATGTTGTCTGTGCTGAGCAGAGGTGGAAAATGCTCCTCGAGAGGTTAAGCCTTTTCCAATTTTTTTTCAAAATAACTTTCCTTTCTCCTTCAGCAAATCTTGGAGATTTTAATACATGGTCCTCTTTCCAGGAGGGGCAAACATATGTACTGCCAAGCATGTCCACAGAGGCAGTGAACAGCAGCTCATAGATTTTTTTCCATGTTGTGACCCCATGTTGCAATGGGAAAAAAAAGTTCTTGGATCTGCCTCCTCCTCCCAGATAGCCTCGAGAAAGAGGCAGTGGTCATCACTGATCACAAATCTACCAAATGGCGATGACCCTAAGGTTGGGAATCCTAAGACAGCAAAAACTGACCTGTTGTACAAAACAAATCTAGATCCAAATTCAGGAAGGAGAGCAGGGAATTGAACGTCAGTGCCCTGAGTCCAAAATCAGCACCCTAAACACCGGATTATTTTTAACCAGTGTCCCATCTTCCCATTCTGTGTGCACATCTTTTCCTTTCTTCTCCCTGAATCCCTTTCCTCCTCCTATTTCCCACAATTTCACATCCTTTACAAGGGGCTTTGATTCCAAACCCGTTTCAAAGCTTACATGACCTATAATCTAGGCAGTATATTCACACCTCTCAGGATAACTTCCAAGCTGTTCTCAGATTCCTGCACATAGTCACGCTGTTTTCAGTTTGAAGGTTTTCTCTACAACCACGAAAGGTAGAAATTTACCTTTAAAAAAAATTAAAATCTCAGATTCTGAATATGTGCTATATATTTCTCTATACATGCTGGAGGCCAGATACAGTCCAGGAACTATGTAGTCATCACCTCTAAGCTTGGTGTATGTACAGGAAATGGTTATAAATAATCAAGTGCCCATCTCAGTTTTCTAAAATCATAAATAAATTTGACACGGAGTGTTCACACACAAAGGGTTATTTCCAGACCACCCATGAGATTTGCATTTCAGTGGATTTTCTTTGCTTGACTCTCAATTAAACTACTGTTTACTTCCAGAGAGGCTTAACTTGGTTTTCTTTCTTTAAATGGAAGGACCTAAGAGGAGACATACACAAATTCTCACTTACTTGTTAGCAACTGCTTGCATAAACTCATCAATCAGCTCGTCATATTGTTTCCCACGTACCCGCTTGTGCTTCAGTCCAATGTAAAGTGGATCATTCAGGAGAGCCTACGACACAAAGCATGCTGTTTACAGTGCCAGCTCCACAGCTGGACAGAGATGACCCTCAAAGCCTTCCCAAAACGGCTGTCACATTCCTGTCACATTTAATCACTGTCCCTAAAACACCCGAATGCAGCGGGCTTGTCCAGTTTTTGTGCCATGAAGCCCTCCTCCGACCATGTCAATACACAGAACAAGACACAGCTTGAGTTCACTATCTATAAACCCACTCGGCGGAGTGTTGTATTGTGGAAACACAGTCACAAAATGTGGTGCTCTTAGCACTATGTGGGATCCTCTGTCCACAAAACAGGAACAAACTCAGGCCACTATTCTTCCCCTGCCAAAGTGTTTTACAGTTTAGATGCAGGACAGCCAATATGGAGATCAGCGGCTAATCTCAAAGAAGGATTCAAAACCCTTTGCTCCCTGCTTGAACAATTTAGTCCTCAACGCCTGCTCTGTATGTAAACGTAGGCAGGCTATTCTCTCACCAAACAGTAACTTGATTTTGCTGCCATTTTCTAATTCCAATCTCAGAGCCTTTCTTGGGGTTGAAGAATGCTCCGATTGTTGTTTTCCAACCAGACCAAAACCGGTCTACATTGGGACGTGCATCCTGTCGCAGGCAGACAGGAAGGGATACCTCCAAAAGTGCCAGTTCAGCAGAGAAAGGAACTGCATTCTGGAAAAAGCGACAGGAAAAATGGGAGCAGAAGGCAGGTGGGACATCCAGAGGGATGTTTTCAATGTCGCACTGAGGAACTGAATCATCTGTTATGGGGGGCGCTCCCACTGGAGCCTGATTGTCCTGTAGACCTATAAAATGTAAATGTTGGCCGGTACGCTAAAACTAAATCTGTCTTCGGAGCCACAGAATTACAGCTGTTTTCCTTTAGCAGGAAATCTGACAGGAGTTTTCCTTTATTTCTGATTCAGTTCTTCTTCTAGGACATACATTTCCAGGGAAAAAAAACACATTTGTGTTCACAGATTCACAGACGTTTAGGGCTGGAAGGCACCTCACAAGATCGTCGGGTCCAGCCCCCTTGCTCTGGGCAGGAAAGACGGCTGGGGTCAAATAACCCTGGCAAGGTTTACGTCCAGTGCATCCAGACACCCTCAAGGCAAACACTAAGTAGTGTGGCATTGACACCACAAATTGGGTCAGCTTATTGCACTTTACCACGGCTGTAAGGACTCTATCACCTGCAACTATTGTGTGCTATCACGAGCCATTTGGGCGATCCAAATTCTGAAAACCATAAGTTATTTCTCCCAAAGTATATGAAAGTCCTCAGAAAAGTACAGGCAAGGAAGAGATTTGGAATGTATAATTTCAGCATAAAACTCACAAACAAATAATTTTAAAATAGGGTTTTTTTTAACATGATAGTGGTTTGAGGCCAAATCTGCAAGCCAGGACTTCCTGAGTTTTAACCTCAGGTCTATCTGACTGACTCTCTAGTTGCTGCTTTGAGAAAAATTACTTAGATCTGATTTTTCAGTAACAGCCACTTGTTTGGTTTTCTGTATTTTTGAGTACCCAGCATAGGACACTTGGCTTTGGTTTTAACGAGGCAATGGGAACACACTGCAAATGAGGTCCTTGAGTATTAAGCATCTCTACAAAGCCAGTGTGTTGATTCAGGTTGCTGTCTTTTGGCATGCACGTCTGGAGGCGTTGAGGTTTCTCCCAAGGATTGTGTGTTTTGATTGTTTATGCTCAAATGAGAAACAAATACTTTTTAAAAGCTTTTTGTGTATTTGACAAGGCCTGGCCACAACAAATAACCATAGAATATACACTTTAAAAACACATCCTCACAGATGTCCATTCTGGCACAGCTAAATGGTTGCAGTTCAGCTCTGCTGAGCCAGTGTCATAAGGCGAAAACTGCTAACAGATGGATTCCTTCTGCCCTCTTATCATGTGCAATCAGACAAAACACTGAACTTAATTAACCCCAAACCACCCAGTGAGGATTCTTCATTTGCTGAAATACAATTGCCTCCATACAGACGTAGATGTGTGCCCATTTCCTCATAATTATGACAGGAAACGTAAATCTGTGTCTGTGCGCCTGAAGTCTTTTAACTCACCTTATCATGTTGAAAGATGGAGCTCACCCTTCAACTGCAGCTGGCAAAGCTCCACCTCAGGCTTTTCATCAGAGGCGTATGAGGATATTCAGTGTGTCTGTGAACTCCTAACATGAGCTGGGGTTTCTTAGCTACCCAGTTGGGAGTGCAAGCTGGCAACTTCCTTGCTCTTATCTGTGATGTCTTTGGCTCTAACTCCAGATCTAAAGCCCAGATCTCAGGGCTTTAAATAAACCTCGCTTCACATATGTGCCCACAAAGACAATAGGCTTACCTCATTGTCTGTGCCAACATCAAGCAGGACAGGGAGACACTGTTGTGGGTGAACGCCACTGCAGGCCGTGTACAAGGCGAGCTTCCCCACTGGGATTCCCATGCCGTAGCTGCCCAGATCTCCGAGGCCCAAAATTCTCTCTCCATCAGTCACCACAACAGCCTAAAGAAATCAAACGAGTTGCATAACTTTCCCAGTGCTTTATTTAGCCCTGTTATAGAGAGTGGAAGGCTGACAATGCAATTTTATAGTGACAGCCTGGGGTGGAAGATTATTACCATACTGAACATTTGGGATAGAAAGGGATCGTGGAATTTTGATCCACCCAAGTTTAAATTCCCCCACCACATATTCCCACAGGCAAAGGCACACAGGCACACTCAGTTCCTCAGCTGTGCCACTAGAGATGCAAGAAACAGATGTGGGCCCTCTGTCCTCCTTTCTACAGCACTACAGGGAAAGAGGTCTGTACAGACGTAGCAGACCACAATCCTTGGCTGCGAGGCCAGGAGGAAGTCAGCAGCACACGGCAGAGAGCAACGTGAGATCAACTAGAACATGTAATATTGCTTTTTGTATCATTTGTGTTGGGTGAGGGATGAATGAAATGGCAGCGGCACAGCACTGACTCTGCAAGAACAGACTGGAAAAAGAGAGAGAGGGGGAGGAAAGCACAGAGACATTCAAAAAGGCAAGGGGAAGGAAAGAAAGATCAGAGCTGGGGTGGAATGGGCTGACGAGCAGGAAGAAGACAGACACCTCCACACTGCAAGGCAGACATATCCATGGATGTACGGGCGTGGTGATGAGCTGAACTGGCCTTATGTTTTAAGTCTCTGGCACTGATGTCTTTGCACATCATCCCAAAGGGAATTTCTTATGTTGGGACATGTGTGTGCATGTGTGTGTGCTGGTGGGAACATCCTGCCAGAGGGTAACTGTGATGCACAGACTTGGAAGGAGTGAGAGTGAATAATTCAAGAAGAAAAAAAGAAAAGCCAAATCCAAGAGCAAGAAAACCAGAAGCAAAAAGGAGGGAAGGGACACAGAAAATGACTGGGAAAGAGAAAGAGTACAGACAACAGGGCCTCCGAAATAAACAATTCCTACTGTACAGATCCAAAGAGCTTTGGGTAGCTCCAGCAAAGAAACGTGAACACCACAGAAGATGGTGGCTCTGACTGATAAAACTAATGTGACACTACAAAACTGACACACTGCAGGCTCTACAACCCAGTATCTCTATTTTCATAGTGCCATAAACGTAAGTGACACTACAGTAGGTCATCATCAGCAATCCCTCTCAGTCAAGGATGATTGTCTTGCAGAATGCCCTTATCTGTGGGTCCAAAGACGGCTGACAAGGCCAATCCAGGATTGACACGTTCTACTGCAACTTGGGCAGGTGTTTCTGCAAGGCATGGGGGGCTCTGGTTTTTTTGGTTTGGTTCATGACACGCTGTTTCTGCCGCTCCCACTTTTCCATCTCCTGTTGTCATTGTGAAGTTTCAGAGAACTGAGATTCTTGCAGCAGCCTCTTCCTCTATTTGGGGAAGTCCTGGGCAATAGTCCCCCCAGGAGTTGATGTCAATGTTGCATTTTTTCAAGTTGGCTTTGAGAACGTCCCTGAAGCGCTTCCTCTTGAGTGTATGCCTTGACTGAGCTAAGAGAATAAGACTTGCTTCAGGAGTCTGGCGTTGGACATCTGGATGATGTGGCTGTCCCAGCAAAGTTGATTTTGGACTAACATTGCCTCAATGCTTGTGGTGTTTGCTTGCAAGAGGACACTTAACGTTGGTGCGTCTGTCCTCCCACTGGATTCAAAGGCTCTTCCACAGGCAGTGTTAATGGTATTTCTCCATAGACTCGAAGTATCTTCTGTACATTGCCCATGTCTCAGATCCATACAGTAAGACAGAGATCATGACTGTCTGATAAACCACGATCTTGGTTTTAAATCTGATTTCATGACCTTTGAACACCCGTAACAACCCATTATACTAGGTATAAAATATGCCATTCCACAATCCAGTCCTCAAGTGGGAGCAGTGAAATGGGCAGAGGGGGAAGGGATTTCCTAGCAGGAGGGCTTACAGGTGAGGCTTCCTGAAGACACCTGAAGAACGGGAAGGCACTCAGTGCAGTGGAATGGGAGGCTGCTCTGAATATAAAGGGAGTCAAGGACCTGAGGCACTGAAGTAGGGAAGGGTTTTCCACAGCCATCAGGAGAGTGTCATGGGCGCAGTGCAGACAGCAGGGAGAAGATGAACTAGTGAAGAGCTCTGAAGATGTGAGAGCTGCATGCCAAAGGAGAGGTCATTCTCTAGGGTCAAATCCTGCAGTCCCAGCTCACGTAGGACTCCCACTGGAGTCAGAGCGGGTTTGGTCTGACCAAGGACTGCAGGATTTGAACCCCAAGAGAAGTGCTTCACCCTAGAGATAGTGCTCTTCAGGTTTATATGGCATCAGGAGAGCATGCAGATGAAACACAAATTTCTGCTACCTCTCAATCACCCACCCAGCCCAAGGAGGACATGTTGCCCTGGCCGAGGCAGGACAGACACCATCTACTCTGGCTGGAAGCAGCGAAGATTCACATGGTCCAACAAGGTAAGATTTCAAGTGCAACTCAGATGGGACATGAATGGCAAGGAAGGTCAGACTGGATGCAGAGGAGCAAGCTGGTGATTGCAGGGGGAGGATAAGCAGGACCCCAGCAAGGCCCAGTGGGAGCACAGAAGCACAGGACTCTGGATCTAGAGTGGCAGTGGCAGGCAGTACTCAGGCATAGGTAAAAGGAAGGGCAAAGGATTATTAGTAATTTCTGGCAAAAGGAGACCCTCTGACTCTGCCCTTGATCTAACACATGCACCTACCAGATGTCTCCCTAGAGAAATCTTCGCAGTGAGCTAACATTTTACATGTACACAGGAATGGCTAGGTTATGTTAAAATGGTTCAAGTTGGCCTAATTTAAAAGCCACGTGCTTTTGCTCATTCAATATATCTCTCTTCACTGAACAGAGCTTGCTATCAGACCATGCGTTAGTCCATGCAATATGATTTTACTTGTGTCCCTGTACACTGATCACAGTTCCCCTCCTAGAACTGACCCAACTGGAGGTCTACCCATGTTAACTGATCCTTAAATCATGATGACTGTGTTTATAAAAATAATACTTTCCGTTCACTTATAGTGCCTGTCAGCCAAGATTCCCATAACATTTTGTACGTATTCACAATCTGTGTCCGTGAAGAAATCTTGGGCCAGTATTCTTGTTCCTGTTCCAGAGATGGGGAAACTGAAATATGTTAAGTGACTCGATTAAGCTCACACCAGAAGTCTGTGGCAGAGCTGGGGATGGACACCTACTTTCTTGACTCCTGTTCTCAAGACATCAGCAAAAGGTTCTCCTCTTCATTTTATTTTTGTTCTATCCTCTTTTACTTGTGTCTTCTCTCTCCTTCAGATGCTAGCAGCAAACCATGTAGTGGGTCTATGTCTATAATGGGCTAATTTACCTTGACTGAACCAATTGCTAATTGACTTGTGGTACTTGACACACATGTGTTAAGGCTCCTCTCAGCCCTGCCCATGTGTTCACTGCCATCTGCTTCCCAGGGTAGTGCTCAATATCTGATTGCAAGTGCTTCTTTATCGGATGGGTTGTTTTTGATCTTTTGGAACCTTATAATGCTTAAAATCTTTCACAGAAAATGGATAAAGAAATAAAAGCAGGATCAACAGTCAGACACCTTATGTTACACTATGAAGATCTAGCAAGCTTTGGTCTAAGTTAACTAGCTTTAGGCTAGCTCCCTTTTTTGCTAGTCTTATCCCAAGCATGCAGTATTCCTCCAAGACAAAACAAAATCAGGGAGAACAGAAAGATATGGCAGAGCTGCCTTGATGTAGAAAAAACACGTTAATCCAATGACAAGTCCAATGCGTCCATCTCTGGCCATGAATTTCAGGGAAAGGAGCCTTCAAACCCAGATCATGTGGATTATTTGCATGAGCGTGACTTAAATTTTGGCTTGGCTATCAAAGGAGAAGTCTGTGGAGAGGTTGTTTTTATTTATTGATCTGCAGAGTTAACGCCTGAAGAGCATACGCTCGCGTGTACTTTTTAGAAGAAACAAGAGAATGGAGGATTAGACATTATCTCAACAGATTTACTAATTTTGGTGAGGAATAAGAAAGATGGGTGGGATTGTTGCTAGGGCACATAACATTTTGTACTCACTTAGGAAGACAATTTTTCAGGTTCAGGAAGACTTCTGGTTGTGGATTTTTTTTAGCATATTTCAGATAATTAAAGAGAGATGCCATGGGAGGATTTACACTTGTGTCACATGGCTTTAGTTTCATTGCCGATGAATAGTCAAACATTGCTATTCATAAGAGCAATGTACATCTCTCCAGGACCTTGCTGTTCTGTTATTCACGCCATTAAAAATGACTGGTTAACTTGAGGAAGGAAAGAATGACACAGAATGAGTCCATGGATAATCACAGGAGGAATGGGAGCAAGGAGGACGATAAAGATCCACAAGACAAATGTACCTGTATTTGCATTTTGCCTCCCCAGCAAATGCTGGTGTGCTCTGTCATATAGATCATGTGAAAGGCATCCAGAAGTACCTACAGTGTTTGCTCTTTTGTTGCTGAGAATTGCCAGCTCCTTGTCATTAGGAGCTAGGGCCTCCCAAAACAAAATTTCCGTGCAAATGCATTAAAATGAACAACACAGCTGTAGACCCACCGCAGACTATATGGCAGCTGGATCAAGTGTATACAATACCATTATAGTGGCAAGATGGTAATTAAGGGAAAACAGCAGTGCCTTTCCTGTAGCAAATGCATTTATTCAACATCATTTGGGGAGATTTTCCCCTGTGGCTCTCTTTGTAGACCAGCGCTGAGCATTAACCAGAGTGGGGTAAGGCTCCTTTTGAGTGGACAAGGTTCCATCTGTTTTGGATGCACGCTCACGCTTCTTATATGACTCCTACTCTCATTTGATTTACACTGAAATCAATGCAAATTTCATGCGAGCAACATAACATGTCTAAGTTATATTGTTGTTTAAAAAGTCTGAACTAATCAAATCATCTTCTGGAGCCACAGATCCTGTTTTGTGTCCTCAACAAAGCATACAGAACTTCATAGGTGATGCATAGGGGCCCTCCTGCAATTGGCCCTTGCCGGCCAGGGAATGGGGAGCGCCATCCGGTGCCTTCCCTGAGAAGCACCAGCAGCACTTCTGGTTTTCCCGGTGGCACTTCCAGTTAGCCCCCAGTGCTCCTGGGGTCAGCAATTGGCTGCTGAGGGGCCCGCACACCTCGTCACTCATGCAGAACTTCCCTTTTCACTTTGTAAATTTGTTATATAGAGGATAATTTTATGCATCCCAGATTTGTGAAACCAGAGTGAGTGTTGTACCCACTAGACACAGATGCCAAGGACTGAAAAAAGTAAAAGCAGCAGAAACCTAGCTAGCGCAGAACAGAACGCAGGCAATTTGCTCTGTTGTGTGAACTGCAGAGGAGATATTTGACCCAAGCCTGTGAAGCACTTTGAAATAAGACAAACTATATGGACAAGAGCAACAGGTGTGCTTGTGTGGAGTCCTTCTTTGTATGACACCAAGTAAACAAAGCTCATCTTCTCTAGCTGAGGACAGTCCTGTGACAGCTACAGGATAACGAAGCAAAACTTTGCGGTTCTATTGATTGCTCTGCCACACGCTCTCTCAGTGATGCTGGGCAGCTCACAGTCTCTCTTCTGGCTAGGGACAGACATAAACCGGTTTAAGTGACCAGAAAGTGGTTTAAACGTGTAACAGAATGGATGTTCAGTGCATATAAACCGGTTTGAAAATGGCTAAAACTGGTTTGAGATAAATTTGGTTGAATGTAGTATCAGACTTAACTGATTTGGGTCAAACTGGTTTATGCAATGTCTGTCCCAGACCCCTTGCTGGTTTAAGTTAAATCAGACTCAGCATCCCAGCCTGCTCTCTGGGCTGGGCGGGGCTCTCTGCTCCACAGCAGAGCTGGTCCTACCCCCCTGCTCCCTGACCAGAGCTCTGGCACAGACTGCAGGTACAACAGGGTCTGCCTGGCTTCCCTGTGCCCCAACTCCCCTTGCTGCTCACTGCTTAAGCAAGGAACACCCCCTTTCTCCCTCCCATCTCCCACAGCATGGACCCCAGCCCCATGGACCCTAGGCATGTGGTATGCTAGCTAATGCTGAGAGGTGTCTGTGTGCATGTCTCCAATTTCACTGGGACAGGCAGACAAAACAGTGACCACTTAGTAGTTTTTGGAGCTAATCACCAGGTCATCTCTAACTTGGAAAAAGCTGTTTAAGAAGAGCTTGAACTAATGGAGAGAGGCTATTGTTTTGTGGATGGGGTGACAAACACTGTTATCAGCCCCCTGCTGCTTGCTTGCCTGTCAGTTTGCTGCAGACAGTATAAAGAAGCAGGGAGGGAGACTGAAAAGCTCTGTATCATCAATAGATGGATGCACAGCCCAGCCCTCCCCACCTTGCCTCAGAGTGCTAGCCCAGGCTGGGGTCTGGCAACACTCCTGCTCCTTCAGCAGCCAGCAGGGAAAAGCCTGGGATGGTGCAGGCAGATATCCTTAATCAGAGGTCCTGCCCAGGCTTGGACAGCTCCTCCCCCCACTCAGGTCAGCACTTGAAGGGAAGGGAGGGCTGTTCTAGTGCCCCCTGGCTTCTAGCCTGAGGCACTGCAGGCATGTGCCTGAATTTCCTGCCTCCAGAGAGAATGTCACTGCAATTACAAACTGGTTTAGCCTAGCCAGGTTAGACTAACCTGCAAAGGTTGACTCAATTCAGGCTTAGGCTTTTTGAACATCTCCAGCCTCCATGCCAGTTTCCCCATCTGCAAAAACACATCTAGCCGCCACAAAGGAATGTTGAGACTTTTGGACAAATGGAAAATCTTGAAATTCTTGGACAGAAAGCCTACAGAAAGGCAAGATATTTAGTTTTCCTTTGTTTGCTCCAATTCAAAATTTGACATTAGAGGAACATACTGACTTTTCTTTTGGAAACCTCTTAAATTCTGTTGGATTATTCTGAGGAATGGAAAATACTCATAAGATTTCAGCTTTCAGCAACTTTTTGTGGACTGACCTGGAAGAAACATCTGGAAGATATGAGACTAAAGCTGAGTCCATAGAGGCCCACAAAGAAGCAGTAAGAGGCACAAACAGATCCAAACTAGTGGAAGGTGGTTATCTGCATGCCCTACATTTTTTTCTGTCTTAATTCAGTGCCAAGGCTTTATCCTGGCCTCAAGCTTTATTGGAGAGAACTTAAAATGAGAGGTTGCTGGGTGGAGTATAAGCACTTTTTTGGGCTTTGGAATATAAAATCTGATATTTAGAAGCTGAAAGTGCTCCAGGCACTGTGTGACTCCTCAGGAATTGGGAAGGAGACTTACAGACTACTCAACAACAACGACACTATATATTCTGAGCCCTCTTTCAGATATAACAAAAACTTTGGTACATACATGTGACTGGGGGAAAATCACCATCAACCCCATGTCTTAGGTATTGCCCAAGGGCCCAACCCTGCAAACATTTCCTACCACATCTCCACTTCCTATTAGAAAAGTCCCACTAACCTGAGTGGAAATACGCCTGTGAGCAAAGTGGCAAACCCAAGCAAATGTTTGCAGAATCTGGTCCTCTAACTGGATTCTTTGGGCCAGAGAATGTATCTCAACTCATGCTTTTGAAGGGCTACTGTACAGAGACATAGGGATGTGGAATGAAAAATAATGGAAACACAGCTCATCAGTTAGAAAGGTACTATCATCTCCAGTAGGTATATGCAAAGTCCTAAATATGTCTTACTGCTCCACAAAGAACAAGTGGGCATATAGGGAAGAGGACCCATGAGAATTTCTTGCTGGCAAAAGGAAAATCTAAAAAAAGATGTTTGCATGTCTTAAAGCTAAGCTCAGGGACAGGAAAGAGCAGTTAAATTTGTTTCATAAGCGGAAAAAACCCTGGGATCTTTGTAGGAGAATCCAATGATTTATAATGGGCTAAATATTTTATTTTGCAGGTGTGGAGATAAAGAGAAATACATTTGCACTGTTTGCTAAGTCCATGACAGAGTGTGTGGCTCCAAGTAACACAGAGGAAGAAACTGGTGAATATGTGAATTCCAAATAGTGAGTAAATCTCTAAATTAACTCAAGAAAATCTGGCACTAAAATCCCTATTCAGTGCTTACTTCCCATTGGACATGTCTCTACATGGCACCGTACAGTGACGTTGCTACGGCACCATGCTTTAGTACTTGCTTTTGGAAGTACTGCCCTTTTGGAAGTACAGATGGTTACTGCGCTGTGTGCACAGCACATGGTTAGATTTTGCACTATGTGACCGTAGCTGTATGCTATACTAGGGGGAAGCATGCCTGGGTCTACACGTGCTCACTGGGGGAGCACGCCACTACAGTGATGTAGCTGGTGATCATGTGGTTGCTACGTCATTGTAGCGTGCCATGTGGCAATGTAGCGCGTCGCTACATCACTGTAGGGCGATGTGTAGACACGACCATGGTTGCACATGCTATTATTTACCCATCAGTAAAAGAAGAAGTGAAACATACCTTTATATCTTCTTCTGGCCAGGAGTTGAGCATGGTTGCAATATGGCCTTTGTCATGAATGGTGATAAACAGCCCACTGTGGTACGAAAACAAAAGCAAACCAGTTGTAAGAAAATAGGAGACTACGTAATGGATGATTTACTGAACCTGAACATGAAGAGGCTTACTGGTAGTACTGTAGCAAAGGCCATGCCAGCTGTGCACTGGCGCTGGGTGCCTTCACACAGGGCATGCCAAATCAAATGGAAGTATTGTTACATGGTAGCACGCGGGGGGCCACTCTGCACAGGACCTACATGGGGTGCCAAAATGCCTGACTATGGCTTTGCTTATTGGCACGGAAAGACTGCCCCACAGTATTAGTTGATACCAACTCTCGATGTCTTCCTAGCACACCACTTGTGTGACAGAACCTATCAGCTACTTAACCTTTTGAAAATGCTCATTAGTTTGGGCACAGGATCTGCCATATTACAGACTGTCCTGGCTTAGGTACCTAATTCTATGAGAGCATTCGTGGAAATGAACACCGAGTGGGGGGAGGCACAGCCCTCCAGCTGAGAGTGAGGTGCCCATGCCTCGCCCCTCTCTCCAGCATTTCCTCCTGGTTAGATGAGGTGTTTTTTTGTTCAGCTTGCTGCATTCTGTGGATCCCATTCTGATGAGTCTAACTTTCCCCTTGCATTGCACAGGAAACCTAGGCATCTCACTTTGAACTGTGGATTCCTCTAGATGGGTAGACACTTAAAAATGAGGCTTTGTAAGGCTGATCTTAATTTTGCCTTCTGCATTAGGACCTAGGAGCCTAATCTGGGGGTAGAATGAGACAAATTTAGCATCAAATTTCTTAAATGGGTTTGCACATGTGTTGTTTACCAGCCCTTTAAGCAGAGCTCAGCAAATAGTTCTGTCAATGACCCGCACAAGCCAGAGTAGCTTCCAGTGCTGTCTCAAAACCACAGTTTTTACAGGATTAAAGTTTATTCTTAATGACAGCAGATGGGACCCTGAATGCATAAAGGGAGCTGGAGAAAATGTGCAACGTTGTGTTATTTTTTGCCAGTGACACTTTTCACAGCAGAAATGCAATTACCATGGTACAGAGAGTCACTGATACTGTCACTATACTGGGGACAGCCACAACTCATTCATGGCAACCAGCCTCGTACAAGCAGTATCTGAACTGCAGAAAACACAGGCTTGCCTAAAGAAACAGAGGGTGGTTAGCCATGTTAGGTGGAAGTTAGGCAGAAGGCAGGGCAAGGTGACACCTTAGAGACTCTCTGCATGGATTAGGTGTCACCCTGACCTGCTCTGTGCTTTAAAAGAAAGAATCCAGCATAAGCAAAAGATTTCTACATTGGATATGACTTTTCTGTTCCTCTTTGGATTACATTTTTAGATGCTTTGCTTTATGAAAGATAAAATGTAACTAGACAATGTTTGGCTTAGCCCATCTGGCACTTAATGAAAGCAAATTAATCAAAAAACCACTACAGGCACAGTGTGTATGCTGTTTCAATAGCTTATATTCAACAAATAATTTGACATTCGACACATATTTTGCTGTGATGCCATGCACATCCTTACCCCCCACTTCCCAAAACGGCAAACATGTATGCAGTTAGCAAGAGGCCAAACACGCACCAAGGGGGCAAACATAATCATAGGAAGTAAGGCTCATTAGAAAAGAACTGCCCTTAATCAAATCAAGTTAGGATATACAAACTATACCATTACCCCCAGCTAACCAATAACTTAATAGATGATGTGTTAACTTCATGGGAGGTAATACGTTTCATAGTTTCATAGTTGGTCGGGTTGGAAGGGACCTGAGCAGATCATCAAGTCCGACCCCCTGCCATGGGCAGGAAAGAGTACTGGGGTCAAACGACCCCAGCTAGG